CCCATATAAGCATATTTGGAATGAACCAATGAGGCATCTGATCTATTTCAACTAGCTTGACCTGGATATATTTCTGTTTTGCTGCTCTATTGTTGATTTGTTTTGCTGGAAGCTATTATATTTTGGTGTGTGAATTCGGGTATATTGTTGGGTGCGGGTTACCCGTCGAGTGCGGGTATGGAATGAATTTTCTACCCGCCTGTGGGTACGGGTAACCCAACGGGTAAGATTTTGATCTGGCGGGTGCGGGTACGGGTGGCCAATACCCATCGGGTACGTACCCATTGCCATTTTGACTTGGAGCTGAGGATCTACCTCCGCCGAGCCGAGGAAGCCAAGATCTTCACCCGGATGCTCGAGGTGCAGCTCGCTGAAGCGCATGCTAGTGCTGCAGCTGTCGAGAGCCAGGAGACTACCATGTCGGAAGCTCTGAAGGAGGCTGAAGATCGGCATGTCCATCAGCTGCATGAGGCCTATCTTGTCACCAGGGCCAAGCGGAGGATGTTGGCTGCTAAAAGGCAGGATGCCCCAATCTTGGAAGGGATCCCTATCCACCCACCAGAAAGAAGAAGAACCGGTGTTGCAGCACCGCCAGCACCTCCACCCTCAGAAGTGTCAGATGTAGAACCCTTGATTCCTCTCACTCAGCCATTGCCATGAGAAGATGCAGATCCGTAGCCTGGGCGGTAGAAGAATCCACCAAGCCCGGGATTGAAGATGCGTGGTCCTGAGTAGATTAGTTGCCTTGGGATGTTGTACCCATAGTAGTAGTGCTTGCTGTCGCTGTCCTTCGGTATTGTACTCCGGCCGTTGTTGTTCGTCCGTAGTTGTTGAGATCGTTTGACCCTAGGTGAGTGCTGCGCCATGAATGGGAGCCTGAACGCCATGAATCGTTCGACCCGTAGTAGTAGCGCAGCAGGCGTGGACAGGCGCAGTAGCTTGCACAGCAAGCGGTGTAGGCACTGATGTCTGAACGGGGTCTAGCGCACGGACCAGCCACGTTGTTTTTCCCCTCAAAATGACCTTTCATTTTTTTACTCCTAGTACTAGTAAAACTATGATTGTTTTAAAGTGCTAGTAGAGTAGTAAAACTATGAATATTTTTCTCCGCCTCCGGAGAGCTCTATTTCTTATTGATGAATATGGGTTGTTTTTCTTTTTTTTTGTTATGAATGAATATGAGTTGTTGGGTGTGCAACACAAAGCCAACAGTAGGAGTTTCCTCGTGCTCCAAGGTATGTTATCAAAAGCTTTTACTATCTGGCCGTAGAGCTCTTCTTATAGTCATTTTAAACTTTAATTGTAATTTTAATCTTATCATTTTTAGTTTTGTGATTTTACTTTCACTTTTTTCAAACGAAAGTAATCAATGTGATTTACCTTTATTTTGTTAACTTCACGAGTTTACTTCACTTTTTTAAACTGAAGCTCGCCCTCCTTTTCGATGCAAACACCACATATGCGCCGCTCTCTCTGGTGACCCAGTGTTCTTTGGATTATTCTGGATCTCGATAGGATTTGTTGTTGCTTTTGCTCCATCATCGAAACATGTACTACGAATCATATCGGTACAGAAAGTGACCAACATGTTAATATTTGTAGTTTTGCCGTACGTTGTGATCGGAGGTGGCCTAGCACTCAATGACATAGGGTTTATACTGGTTCAGACAACGTGCCCTACGTCCAGTTTGAGTCGGTCGGTGACTTTATTCCTGAGCCCAGGTGCTCAAAGTTTGCAGTGGGGTTACAAACGAGAAGGAGAAAGATGGGTGGTACAAGAGGTCCGGTCGGACTCTGGTCAGAAGGGCCGAGAGTGACGGGAGCTCCGCTATGAGCTAAGTGTTCGAGCGTGTGCTCGTGGTTTGAACCTGGTGGTTCTGTTGCTGTGTCCTAGTGAACTTGATCGATCTGAATGAATCAACTTATCTGTTGGAAGAGAGCGCATCTCCTTTTATAGATAAAGGGGATGGCCTTATAAGTGAGTGGGAGGGAATACGTTCGCTGCTAAGTCTTGCTGCCCACGCCGGCGGGTACAAGACGATGGTAGGCACCCACAATACTGTTGAATGTTAGATGCACGTGGGAGGTTGCGTCGTCTTGTTAAGGTATGGCAGATGTCGATACCTGCTATACTGTTGATGCCTAGAGGCATGTGAGGGGTTTTACCATGTTCGCCTACTACGATAAATGCCGGCGCCCACAACACTGTCGATGCCTCAGAGGCACGTGGGGGAGCCTTACCGTATTTGTCTGGTATGGGAATTGATGGCGCCCACAATACTGTAGGGGAAAATGTCGACGCCTATAATACTACTTGGGTACTGTTCTGCAAGTGCACAGGGTATGATCCCTGGTATTGCGGTTGACTTGAGTGCCATGCCTTACTTTTCTTCGTCTGTTTCCTGGTCCTTTTCGAGCGGGCATCCCCGGTCGGTTGGTCCCAATCGGCTCTGATTGCGTTAGTTGGAGAAGAGTAGTGAGCAGGGGTTTGGTGCATCCCCGGTCGGAGACACGGGTCAGAGTTGGAAGTAGTGTTTGGCCAGGCCTTCCGGTCAGAGAGGCCTTCCAGAGGCGGGCTAGAGACTGAAGCGAGTGCTTCCGGTCGGAGAGGCGGGCCGAAGTCAGAAGCGGGCGCCGTTCCTCCTTGGCCAGGCCTTCTGTTCGGTGATTGAATCGTCCTTCCGGCCTGTCGTTTAGGTACTTGGGCCGTCCCATGAGTTACGTGTTGTTTGCAACGTTGTCTGCTTGTGCCGAGCCTTTGTTGGAAAGCCGGTCCACGAGGGACCCCGGGTTTATGAACCCGACAAATCAAGACCCTTACTTTTTTAAAAGGTTTTTGTGTCCACAAATTTTAATTTACACCCCCCTCAAATTGCAATAAATTTTAAAATTATGTCCACTGTCAAAATTCAGTTATATTTAAAATATGTGGACAAAGTCCTAACAAAAGCTACGGCAAATGTGCAAGGGCAAATTTGTCTTAGCTCCTTTGACACTGTTTAAGTGCCATTGACAGAATGTGGGCAATCTCGAACTTCAGTTTGAAAAGGTAGAGAGAAAATCATAAAGTTGAAAAACGAGGACAAAGTCATCAATCGCCTTGAAAGTAGGAGCACGAACACAAAAAAGCTTTGTTGTTATTGTAAAAGATAGACACCAAAGTTGTGCATCAAATATTATTGATACTCAAAGCTTCTTAGAAACAAAAGGAATACAATTTCATAGAACTAAGCAATAGAGCAGGCATATACTTCTCCTTCTTAGTGTCTATAAGGTTGGTAAAATGCGAGATCATCATACTTGTACTTGTCAAATTTCAAGACTAGACAAAACTTTGGAACCATATGTGCCCATATCCAACATGTTGGAGACATACAAGCTTTAAAAATTATAGTAAAAGTTTATCAAAACATTCCTTATATATATAACAGTCTTTTCTTACAAAAACATGTTGTATTTTGTAAGAAATTATTACCTCCTACTCACAAAAAATTCCCATACTATGGTTAGATTGTGACAAGGTCTTTTTAATAAAGATTACCCTTGCAACATGTAAGGATAGATGAACTCATATCTTTTTATGAAAGTACACTAGCAATAATGTAGACATTCATAAGTAGACATAAACACCCTTGTGAACATCCACATACACACTGCTGCTCCTAGCCATGTGTAATGTGTATGGAGGATTGGACCAGTACGAGATTAACAAAAACAACATGACAAATGTGTCGCTAATATGTTGTCTGTCACTAACAAAAATAGCTAGTCCCTCCATTCAAATTTATAAGATATTTTGACTTTTCTAGATTTATTGCTTTTACTATGTATCTAGACATAGCGTATATCTAATCTAAGTGTATAAGCTACGCATGTTCCAAACATCAAGTATATAGTTTTTTATCCAAACTACTGAATTGTGTATCCAAACTAGTGGATCGATGAAAGAGAGAAATATAGGCTCTCGGATGAGATCCAGGCTTTGCTCTAGTTCGAGCTTCTCGTTTTCTATATTTAGAATTTCTTGAGGAATGATTGCAAGTATTGCAGCGACATCTATGGCTCTGACTCGTTCTTTCTTGTCCCGCAAAATAGAGAGTGCGCCGAAGCTTCTATTTATAGGTGAGCCTATTCTTTAGCAGAAGAATTTTTTATTAAAAGTCCTTTTTTTAATAGACTGTCTTCCATGAGTGTAAAAAACAATGAATCTCTTGAGTTCGGCTCGCTCGGGTATCGACACGTGGCGTAATCCTGATGCAATAATAGAGTGAATAATTAAAAGAGTACTCCGATACGAGCTGTGAGAAAGCACACCTAGCCAATCCTCACTCGATGGCTCCGCCCTTGCTTAGGAAAAAGTCATATAGATTTTTTAAAAAAACCCAAAGTATCTTGTACTTTGGAATGTAGGGAGTATATAACATATGGCATCAAATCTGGAATCTTTTGATCTTAGCCTGTTCGCTTGCTCCTAAATGATCGTAAATTTCCAGTCAGGAACCGTGTTTTTCTCTCACACCAAACCAGCCAGCAGTAAATAATCCACGATACGATACGCGTGTCTGTTGCGCACGTATGTATCTCACTGAATTATTCGTGAATCGTGAGGTCCCCATCACAACTCACCAGCTGATCCACAAGCAACTCATAAGCAGTCTATTCGCTTGCTCGTAAACGATCGTAAATTTTCAGTCGGGAACAGTATTTTTCTCTCACACCAAACCAGCCAGCAGTAAATAATCCACGATACGATACGACCTCCCGAACAGGCTGAAGAAAGTTATCGCCCAGTCAGCTTCCATCTCACCTGTACACTTACAGATCAAACGGTCCACTTGCGACGGTTGGCGACACACAACCGCAGCACAGGCTCCTCTGCAAGTCTGCATCTGAAATATCCTGCCAGCTGCCGCGACAACGACAAGATCCAAGAACTCGCTCGCGCGTACGGACGAGTCCCGCAGCCCGGAGATCGAGACTGATCGACAGTCCGAGACGCCATGAACGTGGAGGAGGAGGTCGGGAGGCTCAAAGAGGAGATCCAGAGGCTCGGCCAGCAGCAGCCCGATGGCTCCTACAAGGTACCCCCTTCCCTGTCTGACTCTCCCCTCCGGTCCGGAGCCGCCGCAGATCTGAGCCACCCGCGTCGCCGCGTTTCCTTTTCCTGTGCTGTACTGCCATCTCCAGGATGGCCCGCACCAGGATTCCTCCCCTTCTCTCGATGCTTAGGGCAATGTGCAGTATGATCTGCACAGACCAGTCATCTGCCGTGAAGCTGCGATGGGCGATCGAGTCGAGGCATGGAGAGGCCGTTGCCGAGTTGGCGGACTTTGAGAGATCATCTTGTGGCGCCGCTGATGGGTAATATTTAGCAGGGTCTTGCTCAAATATGAAGACATTTATCCTGACGGTCTGGTGGATGCTCGAAACGATATGCGCAGTGCAGATCCCCAAATGTGCGGGCCTCTCGCAGTTACGTAGTCGGCTAGTGGACCTTGTTGTGAGCATTGGCGCCGAACTGATGATATTGCAACTGAAAGATGATCCTTTCAGTCGTTTCCATTGTGGGTAGCATTTTGTGTCGGTTGTGGTGAGATGATCAACATAAGCTTATGAATTCGTAATTATCCCCTATTCCATGGAACTGACTGAATGCGAAAATTTTAAGAAGCCTGAATAAATGGAAACTCTGTTTACAGTGTCCTACTTGCCCTAGTTAAATGTTGGCCTGTGTCCATATATGTCACATTCATAATGAAGATGTTCAATGTCATTGTGAAAAGAAGAGTGTTAACAGATCAACGACACAGAGTTCTTTCATATCACAGATATTTGTTTCTTTGACCACTATGAACCCTGTTTATTGGAGAATACTCTCCAAATTCAGTAGAATTCTCCCATCTAGGTTATTTTGGTTACTTATCTATTTTTGTTTGCTTAATAAAGTAACATGGAGTTAATATTCCTTACGTGTAATCGTGTGTTACCTTCTACTTATCTTCTTATTATTTCTCCTAGTCATTTGTTTCCATGTTGTGTCTTAATCATGTGTCTCTAAAGAGCATATGATAGCTTACAAGGGCTTATCACAGTGATTCTCCTTCGATTCCTCTTAAATGAATTCAAGGTTTATTATTTTTACTATTTAAGATTTGGCTTGTTCTTTTCATGTTTGGCACTACTAATTTGAACTTTGCAAATCCTAATCTTGGCTCAGTTATTCGTCCATTGCTCATTTGCCCTATCACTCTTAACATATTTTGACATGTGATCTTTAGCTCCTAATTCTAGCCAAAAGTCAACAGTGAAAAGGATGAATGGATACATAAATAATCTGGTATAGTACATAGGTGTAGTCCCTGGAACCATCCATGTACTGTGAGCTTTTGAAATTCTTAAATCATAACAGTACTTGCAGGGTGGAGCTGCTAACCTGCTATGACTTGCTTAGTGCAGACCTTGCTTTGCTAAAAGAGTTCCACCATTCTCAGCTGTACGCCTGTATCCTATAAACAACACTGTTTTTTTTTTAGAGTCTATAAGCGATATTGTAAATGTTATAACCATTAAAGATATATCATTACGATGTTACAGTGTAAATAATACATGTTAAGAATTTTATTGTTTCTGTACTATACCTTGTGAATGTGCACAGAGGATATCAATACCGTGTTACTGAGCTATCGGTTCATGAGGTCAAGTTTGGTGTCCTCTTCAACGATGATCGGTGTGCAAATATTTTTGAAGCACTAGTTGGCACCTTGAGGGCCGCCAAGAAGAGGAAGGTTTTGACCTATGATGGTGAGCTGCTTCTGCAAGGTGTTCATGACAATGTGGAGATTACCCTGTTGCCTCCACCCGCAGTTGCTGCCGCTTAAAGTGCACAGCGCCACCAAGTTCTCAATTCCATATAGTTCATATGCTTGTATTTTGCTGTGCCTAGATTCTCACGAACCATTTGGTATTCCCAGAGGACTGTTATTGTGTGATGTATGAAATTGTGATGCTTAAGAAATTGCCTTGCTTGCATATGGTTGTGTTGCTTAAGACATTCAATGCTGGTATAACATTCATGTCATGAGACATGAAAGCAGCAGGTTGGAGGTAATGGCCGTGGGTTATTGACATCTTTCAGTCTGGATGATTTTCTTCTCAAAAAGTTTCTTTTAAGTTCCATTACTTTCCCCATTTTCCTTTATATTTTTTCTATGGACCCTTATCGACATTTACTTCCCTCACCAGCACCTGTTGCCACCCTGATCAATACATCACCTACTTTAGCAATGACACATAGTACCAGCTGCACCTATTTTAGTTTGGTCAGGTCGTGTCTTATAAACGTAAGTGCATGTAAATAGGTGAAAACAAACAGTGAGGAAGCAGATGGTGTGGAGAGTTATATAAACAGATTTGATTCTTTGAGGAATGCTTCCACAGGGTTGCTTGCCATGTGCACTTTTCTTTGTTTCTACTGGCATGAGGATGGGAGGCACAGGGAAAGATATATGGAAACGTGAAACCCCGCTCCCGATCTGAGCGTCCCCGGTTCCGCCCAGCTGCCGGCGCTGTCCCTAGCGCCGGCGAGGCCCGCTCTCGTTCCTTGTCACTTCAGGGCGCTCACGGCTCACCCTCCACCGCCATTGCAGCTTTAACCGTGTCTCCGGAGGCTCCCGCTGCCCTGTCGTGAGTCGTGACCTCTCTTGCACTAACTACGTAACTCGTCAGCGGTGGTCAAGGCGATGCCGATGGTCACCCCCGGCCCGCCACTCCATCGCCGCCCCTGCCTCACCGTCCAGCCGTCTCTCCCTCCACCACAGCCCGCTACCCTGTCTCTTGAGCTCGTCTAGGTCAATAGAAAGACAGAGCTCAAAAGTTGTTGTGGGGAAGAAGAGTTTCACCCTGTCTGCTATAGCAGATGCAGATCTGAAAAACTTTTATCTAAGCTGTCTTGCAAACGTCTTTGACGTTCAACTATTGTGGTTCCGTTTGTAGGTCAACCTCGGTGTGTCCTCCTCACCTCAATGACGACCTGTATGCTTGCAAACATATTTGAAGCAATAGTTGGCACCTTGGGAGCCACCAAGAAGTGGAAAATGTTGATCTGTGATGGCCTCGACGCTGCTTCTGCAGGGTGTTCATGACAATGTGGAGATATCCCTCTCGTGGTCTTGCCTCGGCTCTTTCTTCCTTCTTGTGCTGCCGCTTCAAGTGCACGTCACACACACACCATGGGTCTCAATGCTTGTAACTTCTGGTGCCTAGGTCCCAGAAGACTGATGATAAGGTGTGTTCAAATCGCCAGTCCCTGTGAAATTCTATTGGCCGCAGAGGAGAGCAACGAGCTAGCACGATCACACTCGCTGGTCTTGCACGTACTCCGAACTAACTCCATCTCTCAGCTTCAATATAATGCTCTGCATACCTACGCTCTCCACTTCTTTATTATTTTATTGCTTTCCGCCTTCAACTTAACTGACGATTGGGTTATAACGGGGACGCCCTTATAGTCATTACTACTGTATGTACTGCATCTTTGGGTCCTGTTTGGATCACATAACTAACAACTACTTGACTAATTTTTAGTCCTTAAATATCAAACAGGTGGACTAATTATTAGTTCACTAGTCATAGACTAGTTGTTAGTTCACTAGTCCACTTGTAAAAGCTAATAGGACTGGTTGTTAGTTCAACAGATCCTTAGGGGCCGTCCTTATCGACAATGTGCGCAGGAGACCGTCAGTCTCCCGGACAAACTAAAGCGACCTTTAATAAAAAAAACAAAAATCATTTATTTTCTTCTTTCACTCTAGTTTGCCTCCTGTCCTGTTGTCTCCAGTAGTATAAACTCGAGTTCAGTTCTTGGCAGTTAAGCAGCATTACGCTGCTGCCAGAAGCTTATTAATACACCACCTGCTCGACCATTATATACAGTTGCTCTCCCTTCATGTCTTCTTCGATCATATATAGTAGAAACCACCCAAACGTTGTGACACAGGAAAGAATGCAGATGATGTGCGGGGACCAAAGTTGAGCCTGAGAAAACACTAGAGAGAGAGAGAGAAAGAGCCTGCGTGTTTAAATAGATAATCTCTACAGTTCAGTTACTGAAACAAGAATGGGAGGTATTGGGGAAATGGTTCCCAGGATCAACCTGAACTCCCGATCAGCATTTGACATTGTCTCGAATGCTGGAGCCTACTTCGAGTGTTGAACGTCGGATGATGTAGCATGCTGTTTGTGTCTTCCGGCAACCTGTGTCATCGGCAGTATGTTTGAATCACTTGGACTAACAACTAGGAGTAGCTAAAAATTAGTCATAGTCCATCCAAAGATGCAGACTAATGGGTGGAGTAGTTGTTACCATCCTCGTAGTTGTTATCAACCTTGTAACTATACCAACAGGCGGATGCATCACATTCAGTATAGTTACGAGAATGGTGTTGACTCAAACCACAAATAGCGTAGGGGCCCTGATATGGAACCAACTCATTTACACAACCAATATATTGGCCCTGAATGGTGGTGGCTGCATTGATCTTAGATTGTTTCTACTCCTCACTATTTCTTAAATGCAATTTGGTGGTGTTTAATCGTCCTGTTCGTTTGGACTAGTTTGGCTTATAAGCCATGGCTTAAAGCACTGTTGGCTGGTTTGGTGTGAGAGAAAAATACTGTTCGTTGGCTGATAAGTCATGGCTTATAAATACGACCGAGCGAACAGGAATATTGATTGATGATGTTGTAAAAGGCAATTATTTATGGTTCTGCGCTTCCAAATAGTGCACAGAAAAGGTCAGCCGGCTTGTTCTGCGGTGAAAAATGTAACCAAGATTACGCTGATGCAGGGAGGCAAGATTGAAGTTTCAGTGCTCAGGCAGTTTGAAATCGGATGATACGTCAAACACAAGGTTAGTCACTACAAATTGAAGTACATGAAGTAGACAATCACCCGCAGGACAAGCCCAGTGACTAAATGTGTAAATGACCATACATGCCCAGTGCAAAGTGTGATGACCAAAGATTCTGACATGATATTATTTAGGTCTACTTAATAAGCAACTCTTCAAAACCATTTATAATATTAAATGTTTTTTCCAGGCAACTTAAATCATCAGCAGACAGCAGTTATGTGTGGTAGCATAAGCAAGTAAGCAACATATATATCTCTAATAATGTAGACTGAGGGGCCTACTCTCCTTCGAGGAGGCTGAACCGGGAACCTTTATTTACGAAAAAAAAAACTTATGAGCAGTTAAGCAACGTTGTACTGGGGCCATACCTAACAATACAACACCAGCCCATCTAGTAACTAATCTAATATGTTGTCCATCTAGCCGTGATGTTGATATATATATATATATATATATATATATATATATATATATATATATATATATATACACCAACAATGCAAACATCACAACTCAAAACAGAGGAAAGAAACCAGAAGAAGAGCTGAGCTTGAGAACAATGAGTTGATGACATGGAAAAGCAAGAGAGGCAGCATGCGCTTTCTTGTAAAAAAAAGAGGCCGCCACAACAATTTAGCTTGCATATTTAAGGGTGGGAGGCATTAGGAAAATAGTTCTTTGCTATCATGGGAGATGTCGTGCCGGCTCAGTGCATCATGGCTCAAAGCCGGAGGAAAGAGCTTTTCAACGGAGGTGACGATGGTGAAAGTGAGTGTCTGTTCATATCTATAAGCACAAGGCCAGTTCTTGTTTGGTGTGGAAAAAGACCAGTTCTTGATTCTAAAACTAGCTGAGAAAGATGATCAAACGAGAAATCTGGCTATTGATTTTGCTAACATATTCATATTTGTAAGCAGAAATGTTTATATCTTCAAATTAATTTCTAAATTATTATAAACCATTAGACCTTGATATATGACGTGAGGTACCCATTCATCTTCCAAAGACAAGTCGCCATTGGTAACCGTCTTTGATTATCGCTTTTGTTTTGGTTTTTGAATAGCATGTTGTTCTTGCTTCAAACAAATTGACTGATGTAAATGCTTGCTAACTAGAGGGGAAGTTCAAGCAGTGTTTTAAATAACAGGCTATAGCATTTAGCAAAGAACTCTGATCAGCTGCTATAGCCTGCTACATTTAGTACAACTTTGTTGTGGTGGCACCTGGCATTAGCTGCTATAGCCCCGCTATAGCTTTCTCATTGACTGTTATTTAAAACATTGAGTTCAAACAATAAAAGAGTATCATTTTGCTAGAACAGTAAAAAAAATTATAATTTAGTATGCTTTTATTTAGCAATATTAGGTCCCATTGGTATTATTGTGCATGCATCTTTGTTTTTTTATCTACCAAAATATTAGGCCCAATAGGTATTATTGCTAGAACAGTGAAAATATAATTAAGTATGGATGTTTCCACCTACTGAAGCTTTATTGTGTACCTAGTGAAATCATTTGGCGAGCCCGCTCATCAGTGGCAGATCCAGAAATAGCTCAAAGGGACATTTGAGCCGTGTCGGGTGGGGCTAAATGCATATTTTCATGGGCTATCTTGGACTAGACAAAGGAGTTGTTAAAGGGATTTTTGGGCCGCGCCCCGAGCTGCAGCTCGGGCAGCCCGGGGCCTAGATCCGCCCCTGCTTCTCATTGACTACATAAGTTATTTGTCAGGACTGCACAGAGATGCAATGCTTGCTCTTCCTATTTCCAGCGCAGATCAACCACTCTAATGGCTTGATCGCTTTCTGTAGTTACATTCACTGCTACAGATTCAATGCCGGCCAATCACCGCTCAAAATCAGAAAATGATTGGGGTCTCAAAAAACCGGCAGTGAAGATCCATATCACCGCTGGTTGGTGGCTAGAACCGACAGTGATACAACAGTGATATTTCACTGTCGGTTCGTG